TTTTTTTTTTTTTTCTTTTAAATCAAAACTAGACAGATTCTAAAATATATGTACTACTTCTCGTTCCGCGAGAACACTATACTCAAAAATACAACATTTCTTTCTACAAAAATAGACAATTTCGAGCAGAATTTTTTCCAAGGCCGAAAGAAGCGAGAAAAGAAAGAACAAATGTTAAGCGTTCGATCGAAACGCGAAACAAGACGAGAGATCTTTATTTCTAAAGGACGTTTGCAGTTTGAAACAATTTCAGGATCGAAGATCCAAACGAATCGAGGCACAATGGTTGTCAACGTGCGGCCAGAGGAATCGGGGGAGAGACTTTTGTTCTGGCGAACCGATACCTCGGGCCGATGTGTGTCTGTTTTCGATCGGCACCGAGGGCATATTCCCCCCCCCCCCCTCCTTGGCGTTATCGGGCGACCCTGGTCCCTCACGAGCGGTGTGCCCTGACAAAGGTGGAACCCGTTGGAACAATACGATCTTCGAGGAGGAAGAATCCGAAAGGCGAAGCAAGCAAGCAAGCCGGATAGCGATTCGAGAAAGGGGAGAAGGGACGCCGACTTACCACCGAAGATCGTGAGAAGAAGAGGAGAGAGAAAAGAAGAGAAGAGAAAGAACGAGAGGGGGAGGGAGGGTAGAGAAGTCTGATGGGTTACCCGCCCAGAACGTCGTGCAACGTCATCGTCGGTGACCGTAGTATGGATGAGCTCTCGTTGGCTCGAATCCTCGTGGATACTTAAATGTTCTTCGTGCTCGTCGACTGAAACGCGCGCCGGACGTTTCGGACGGAAAAAGTCGCTGTGTCGCAGCAGACACAGTAGAAAGCGAATTGAATCGTTCGGTCGACTCGAACAGAACTCGATCCGGCCACGATTTCAGTTTCTTCGAGGAAATTACGCTTGGCTGAGCAACGGCAAGGGTAAAGCGAACGAATGAAATTCTCATTGTATCGGCGCGGTCGAGAGATCGGTATTGACGCCCGATTATTTCATATATTTTTCTCTTGCTGACCAGCTGACGTTCCCGTACAAAGGTAGAGAAGGTACAATAATTTTTAAATATTCTCGCGCACCAGACGAATCGGAGGAAAATGGGAAGCCGATTTGGAAGGGGAGGGGGGAGGCTCGAAATATCGAGCGAGATCGTATCCGGAAGGCGCGTGGGACGGTTCTGCCCTTAAGCTTAATCTCTACGGTGTCCACGGGTTCTGCTTTTGGGATTATATAGCTTCCGACTGATCTGTGTTTCACCGATTGTCACGATGGGAGTGTCCACACGCGCGGACCTGATAAGAACGAAGGAGCGAAGGATTTACTTGGGAAAACCATCGAGAAATCAAGCATATTCGTTTAAAAACACACTAATTTCATCAATTTGCACGGGAATTGTATCATCAATAATTTCCGAGAAAAATATGTTCACCCTCCAACCCCAATTTTCATGGTGGTTTTTACCAAAAAAAAAAAAATACTGTGTCAAATATTTCATCAGAATCACTGGTGACTGAATCACACCGATTTGGTGTGTTCCATTTTAGACTGGCAAGATGTAACCTATTAGATGATGCAACTGTGCTAACTATAAATTCGAACAGAAGGAACGACTGAAACACACCAACGCGATAAATTTCTATTTTTCAGTCGAGACATTTGGCAAGCGAGAGATTGCAAGGAGATAGCCACCCTTGTTGGAGTGCCGAATTCTCCTGTTAGTCCAGCGAGTGGCGTCACTTTTGTTTGATATACCTTCGCTGATATACCTCTCGATCTCACGACGAATCGATACCGATCTATCGACACGGATCGCTTGCCTCTCATCGGTCGTATCTCTACCCGAGTATTAATGCGATCATCAAATCTGAGTCTCTGTTTCTCTCTTTCTCTTTGCTTGCAATCGTCGAAAGCTGCCTTGAAACTCGCGACGATTTCAAAACTCGGCTCGAAGCATTCCCACGAGTGAAAATATCCACGGTATCTGTCTGTCTGAATCGCTGCAGAGACTTTCCACTGCTGGCAATCGCCAGTAGATGCACATATTCCGAACAGATACACCGACAAATGTTTAACGTGAAAGTTAAGAACGAAAAACAATAAGTCGTTAATTGCTAATTGCGGCTGGCGATCGGGAGAAAGCGCTGCAGACATCGAATTTTTCAATCACCAATCGACGTTTCTTAATCGGACATCGATCGATTCGGTTCGAAGCAGGGATCGAAAGAGTTACCATGTTAATTTTTCTTTTCTCAAGTTAAGGTTCTGTTCGAACCGATGTTCTTACATTTGCACAAGTTCTGTCTGAAAACTTGGGACCACCAAGAACATTTACTTATCCGTTCTCATTCTCGTGTTGCAAGATCCCCACAAGTGACGGAACGAAACTTGTGAAAATGTAAAAATGAACAGAATGTAATTTTAAATATATTTTCTTTTATACAGCGTATAATTTTTCTGTCGGAGTTTATCAATGTTAAAAAAAAAAAAAAAACGATTACAAACCTACCGAAACCTAACCTAAATCTTTAGGTTAAACCTAAGGTTTAGGTTAGGTTAGGTTAGATTTAGGT